TGTGTGTGTGTGTGTCTGTGTCTGTCTGTGTGTTTGTGTGTGTCTGTGTGTGTGCGTCTGTGAGTGTGTGTGTGTGTGTGTGATCATTTTCTTGCTGAACGATTGGTTGAATTTCGGGCCGGCGTTCGGACCTGGTTCTGAAGCTGTGCTGTGTGTGTGTGTGTTTGTGTGTGTGTGAGCTGTGCTGTGTGTGTGTGTGTTTGTGTGTGTGTGAGCTGTGCTGTGTGTGTTTCCAGCAGTGTGAGCAGGACGGCGAAGCGTTTCCTGTGTGGCCGGCTGGAAACGTTCAGGCTGACTCGGTGCACTCGTCTCCTTACGGATGCAGACACTTGGTGGAGTGTTAATAAATAAATCAGATGATGTTGGCATTGTATTTCAACACTATTTCCAGCCACAGCAGACATGACACACACCAGCATTGCTGCTTTCACTCATCACTTCCCAAACAAACCTGTTCTCTGTGTTTTAGACATGAACATGATGCAGGATCAGCAGACCAGTTTTTTCCCTTCGACCAACATTTATTGACAGTCTTAAGTGTAGCTTGTTGCTCTCCCAGATGAATCTGGTCTTTTTAAATCCACCTGTGGCGTGTTCACCTTTTATCTTCTTGCTGCTGCCTCACATCATGTTTGACCACAATAGGATGGAAAACAGTGAGAGCTACATCAGAGTTTCACTTTTGATGAAAGGAGATCACAGACTGCTTTTTGGAGAACCTACGTGGTCCGTTGAGTGCAGTGTCCCATCATGCTTTGCAGCAGTTCATGCTATATTTCCACTTGATGCCATTGCAGGGAGCAGCTTTAATGAGATTAACCTATCCTAGATTATCCTGCTTCTGTTAGCGGGAGGCTAACAGCTAATTCCAGGGATTGGTGCGATGAGACCTGAAGCAACACACACATGGGGTGAATAATTCAGGTTCTGCTATCACTGGACCGATACATTTCACTCCAGCTGCTTTATCAGAGTGCAGCTGCTTGCAGCTTTGCGGCGTATTTCTGAGGCGCAGCATAATCTCCCTGCTCCAGCGTTTGATGGGAGGACTGATGTGACCTGATGGGTGGTGCGCCAGGTTTGTGCTGCGCTCCTTACTAATGGATGAGCCATGTCCTGTGAAGCAGCAGAGCGCTTGTCAGAGCCGCCGGAGCTGCCGCATGCTGCTTCTACTCCAGGTCTATTTATAGCTCCATGACCTATCTGACATGGGCTGCTACAGCCAGGTTTTATGGCAGTCGGGATGACTTGCTGCTCCACTTCAGAAGCGGGATTTGGTTGTGTTGTTTTGTTGCTGTAGTATTTGTCAGACGGCAGGTAAGGTGGGTGAGTTCAGAGCCCCTGGTTGCAGCAACTTCAGAGGAGCGTTTGTTTGGGCTGGCAGATGGAGACGGTGGCTGAGGGGAGGGAGGGCTCATGCGAGAGAAGGCAGCCCAGGCACTTGGCAGCTGAGGGCCATGCGCCTGTACGCCTACATGCCTTTAGCACGGGACTCTCATCTGACTCTCGTTCTCTCTGGCACTCACTCGTTGGTGCAGACATGGAGTGGAGCAGAGGCGCTGAGCCTGGGATGCAGGCCGTCAACTGCACAGTGAACTCTACCAATAATCTAGCAGCAGATTTCTGGTTTAATATTGTCCGAGTGCTCGAAGCCACCAGGATTCACTCAGCCAGAAGTCATGAAATACTGCTTGGTGACGACATTAAACAGAAGCACATGTGAGCTGATGAATACTCGTAGCTGTAGTGTAGCCAGGCTTCTCCTCTGTAACGTCTTCCCGTCAGCCGCCCCCTCTCCATCCCCTTCTGCAGCCGCCAAACGGTTAATGCCCATCCAACACATGTCAACAAGAAATATAGGCCAGGTCTGCTGGGCTTCCAGCCTTTCACAGAACTAGTTTATTGGCAGTGGTCTCTGGTCAGGGGATGCAGAGGTTCCTGTACGGCCCTGTGATTCACCATGATAGTGTGTGTGTGTACAGGTGTGTCCAGGTGTGTGTCTATACGTGCACGTGGGGTTTGAGATTCACCTGCAATGCAGTAGCACTGATCTGACCTGGTTTTGGCCAGTGAGCAGGACAGATGTAGTCGAAGCTATGAGTCCCTACCGTCACGCTGGCTGTAGCTTCAAATATAAGTCAGTCCTGAGTTGATTGTAAACCTGATGTTAACAGTTCAAGCAGCTTTTCTCTTTCATGACATGAAGATTTA